ATATACTTTAGCTTTTCTGTAGCCTCCTGTCTCATAGCAGGTGGAGTGGCTGGAGTTGTATCTCAGTTGATAGAAGCGCTAGTTTCTATCTCAATCATTCATAAAGTAGACATAGTTGTGCATGCTTATAGTCCCAATACTGGGGAGCTGAAGGCTGGAAGGTCAGAAGTTCAAGGTCATTCTCAGATACATAGTATTAGGCTAGTCTGGGATGCAGAAGACTGTCTCAATCACGAAAAGAAACAACAAAAATGATTATTCTCCTGATTACCTAAATATACTGAAAATTAGCCTCCAAGTCTTGTTTTGCTATGAGATTAGGGGAGTAAATATCTTTTCAGCCATTTTGTATTTTAATCCAATTTTCAATTGATGTTTTAAAATGAGCTTTGAGCGGAACATATTTGCACACACCTTTGATCCTATTATTCAGCTGAATCTATAGAGCACTTCCAGGACAGCCTTGGCTACACAGTGAAACTCTGTCTCAAGAGAGGGGAGGGGAGGGAAGGAGAGAGAGAAAGAGAAAGAAACACTCCAAAAGAGGTTCTTTGACTTTGCTTTGAATAAGACTAATCTCAGAACAGGGCCTTTCTGCTAGTCTTTGTATTTGCCACTGAGCAAGAAGGAAGAGGGAGAGGGATGATGAAAAACAGGGTAAGGAGACAAAACTTTATAGTTTTCAAAATATATTCTGGTTAGTCTTCTTTCTGCCTTGTCATATTTTCTCAGTATAGCATATATAGAAAGTTTACATGCAGACCAGCTTGTACATTGAACATTGCTTTTTTCATGCATTATTTTAGACTTGAGGCAATTTTTAAAATGTATTTCTTTTTTACTTCACACATACTTCAGAATTGTCTGACTTTTGTTGCACACTCATAAAGATCTTTTGATCTATAGTCATTTTTTTATAATTTTGCAAAATACTACTACTACTACTACTACTACTACTACTAATAATAATAATAATAATAATGTAGAATGCCACTGAGGTAATTGCCAACTCAGGTCAGCATTTTTTAAATATGTAAGGTACTGGATTGGGAGTTCTAGTAGAGTCACTAATTATATTCATAGTACTTAAAAAAAAAAAAAAGATTGCCAGGTGGTGGTGGTGTACGCCTTTTGTGTGCATACATCTACTTCAGATCAGAAGAGGCCATTGGATCCTCTGGATCTGGAGTTTCAGGCAGTTGAGAACTGCCATACAGGGGTGCTGGAAGCCATTCATTCAGCAGTCTTCTGGAGGAGCAGCAAGTACTCTAAAGCCACTAGCCACTCTTTCCAGCCCCAGAAGTACTTGATTTTTGAAATGGAAGTTCTTTCTAGTTTGGATGTTTTAAGCTAAAATTTTAAGGTCTTCTGGCTGGTTACTTTGAAGTGAAAAATCAATTGCGTCTTTTCTGTATCCCTGTTGTCATCTAATGATCCAACAGGTAGGGAAGAGGGAGGCACACACAATTTTCTTAGTTGTCTAAGCCTATGGCTGTTTTCTAAATATTTTCACTTTTAGCTTTCCTTATATAACTTGATGTTTAATGATGTACGTTTTCTTTTTATAATTCAGTGTCAGTCCATAATCTCTTCTGTTCTTACAGAGATAGCCACACTTATGTTACCACTTTTTCAAAGACAGATTGGAGCAAACATAAAATATGTTCGCCTATCATTGTACTCCCTGTTTACATCAGTCAGGGTGGCTATTTGGGGAGCTGGAGAGATGGCTCAGCAGTTAGTACTTTGTTGCTCTTGCAGAGGACCAGTGCCCCACATGGTGGTTCACAACCATCTGTAACTCTGGTTCCAGGGATCCAAAGCTCTCTTCTGACCTTCATGGGCACCAAACATACATGTGGCAAACAATACATGCAAGCAGAATACACATAAAATGAACAAACCAAATAAACAAATGAAAGATGGCTATTTGGACTTGCCTCCTAGGTGTTTGTGTTAGCCATGCTTTTTTTCTTTGCTATGACTTTCTCTACTAATCCAGGTTTTCATTTCCATGCTAAATTTATTCATATGTATATTCTAAATGTAGGGTGTGCTATGAGTTTGGTGTATTATTGTTGTTACTATTATTATTATTATTATTATTATTATTATTATTATTATTATTATTTGCAATGTTTTTGTTTACTGATCCATCCACCCACCCACTTACCCTCCCTCCCTCTCTTTCTCTCCCCCTCCCTCCCTCCCTCCCTCTAGGGTTTCTCTGTGTATTCCTAACTGTCCTGTCCTGGAACTGACAAAGGTCCACCTGCCTCTGCCATGTGGGTGCTGGGAATCAAATTCCAGTCCTGTGGAAGAGCAGTCAGTGCTCTTAACCACTGAACCATCTGTCTAGTTTCATAAAATGGGTTTTAGTATCAGTGTAATACGTGAAAAACTTGTAGGACCTCCACTCCCCCCAGCCCCCTTTTTAATCTCTATTAAGTAGGCTCTCAGAATTCTTTTGAATAAAGTTCTGTTTTGGTGGGGGGGGGGGTGTCAATGTTTCTTAGCCCATGGCTTAATGAAAGGAGTATATATCCTATCATACATTGGACAATGCCTAGCGATTCAGTTATATCTCCCATGTTTAAGTACTCCCCCTTTATTAATGTAAATACATAATTAGAATTTGTATGTCTTTAATGAATTATAGAAGCATTGCAACAACCAGTGGGATTCCTTATAACTTAATTCCTCTTTAAATGAATTCTTAAACTAAAATTTCTAATTTTATCTTTGACTCAGGAAGTTATTTCTTGAGCCATGTAGCTTTCTATAGGATGAGGAATGTAACCAGTTCCAGTGATTATTATAAGAGGAACTGGGACAAACCTGCCAGTAAGTTAAGCAGTCCCAGCTAGGATTAGCGCCTGCAATCTTGACAGGGATGGTGAACTGGACTGTGGATCGTTTGCAGTCTCGCCTCAGTAGACGTTTACTTGTGCTTCTCTCTTTAATGGAGTTGGAGAAGTATTTTTGCCACTCCCATCTCCAAAATTGACTTTCAGAATCCAATTTTAGACAAAATAGAAAAATTATTCTCTGTTACAGTTCTAGAAGTGGAGTGTTATGTATGTGGACTTTGGAGAGAAACCCTAGCTTCTGCTTTCTTGAGTCAGGTGTACATTGATACTAGCCATTATTACAGACTATAAGTTTGAAGTCACCTTCTCACATGCTGTCCTTCCTTTTATGATTTGGGAATTTATTATCACTTGTTTGTTTGAGACAGGCAGGGTCTTTTGTATTCCTAGCAAGCAGTCTTTGAAATTGGCGGTGTGGCCGAGGCTCACCTTGAACTGATCATCCTGCCTTTATCTTCAATTGCTAGGCTTACACAGACATGTAACACCAGCCCCACTTCATTTTACTTCTTTTATAATCTGAATATAACAGTTTCCAAAGTTTCCTGTATTGTGAGATGAACTTGGATGAAGTGAAATCTTTGCAATAAGACCATCCTAATGATAAGAATGGAAAGGAAACCTGTGAAATTTGAGAACTTTCAGAGCTAGGTTTTAGAATCATTGCCTAAATATTGAAATACCATCATTTGTTGTTTAGAGGGATGTGGAGCTAAATTGAGAAGGGAGAACACATCTGCCTTGATTGCTAAGTATCTCAATAGCTTACTCACAATGGAATTTTTATGCATGCATTCATCATTCTTGGTTTTAGCAACAGTGTTTTCCCTTTTTAGTACTAGGGATTGAACCCATGTTGTTACACATTCTAGGTAAGTCGTCCACCGGACTATTATATCCCTAGGCCTTAAGGAGGGTAAAACTGTCTCCTTCCCCTGTGTTTTGAATTTGTATCCCTAATAGACAGAGTTCTTTTTCATCATTATTACTAGTGGCTTTTATTTTTTATTTTGTTAGAAAGACCCACAGATGCTAGGAGTAGTGGTGCATTCAGAGACAAGTTGATCTCTGAGTTTGAGGCTAGCCCAGTCTACATAGTCAGTTCCAGGACACCCTATCTATAAAAAAAAAGTTGTTTCCTAGTATTCTACTAAGAACAAGGCAGAATATTTCTATTCCTTTTAGTTTCTGGCAAGTTAAAATTCAGAATTAGAGGAAGGGGGATCTCTGAGTTCCAGACCAGCCTGGTCTACAAGTGCTAGTTCCAGGACAGCCTCCAAAGCCACAGAGAACAAACCCTGTGTGTATGTGTGTGTGTGTGGGGGGGGTGGGTGTATCGGGATTAATGAAGAAATTTTGCCTGCTGCCTAATGAGTGATACTGAACCAGAGTTTTTTGAAGGCTTGTCCAATGAGTGACTGATTTATCACTTTACTCTCAACACTGTTAAAGAGAACAGGACCAGACCAGTGCAGTCCAGTGGAAGTAGTTGGTGAACATCAGGGTTTAGGTGGCCAGTTTGACAACAGCTTGCCTCTGGTGTGCTTCTGTTGGCCTTACTGTTCTTTTGTGACTGTTCTGGGATTAATTTGTACTCAAGAACTGTGCTCATTGCTGTCTTTGACACATGGAAACTAAGTTTAAAACCAAGGCCAACAACCCAGGTCTTTGAAAAGCATTTTTGGACCACATAAAGTGAAGTGGTTTTTTTCTTGATTGGTTACTTTGTTGTTGTTGTTGTTGTTGTTGTCATTGTGTTTTTCCTGTTTGCTTTTTCCTTCAGGTAATTTTAGCTTTGTGGGATCATAAATACAGGGAGGACTTTGGAGGACATGAAACAAGTTTGTGTTTCTTCTGCTTTGTTGGCTACACTATCTTCATGAATCTGACACACTATTTATCTGACAGTGCACTTAGTACTGCTTCGCCAGGGAAAATCACACAAAACAAGCCTGGTGCATCAGCACTTTCATTGTGTGCTGGGCTGAGCCTCCCTTCACATGGTTGGATCCCCATTTTAGTCCAGTACTCCCTTTCCCTGCCCCTTCCCCAGACCTGCCTCTTTCTGTGGCACTTACTGCTGGTTTCCCTGAGCTCCGTTTCCACTTTGTGTTTTTTGTGGGGCCCAGGAAGCTAAAGCTGTGTGTATTTGTGGATCAGACAAGTGCAGCAAGTTATTATCATTGGCTTCTGAAGGGGAGAGTGAGGTGATGGCTGCGTTTAAGTTGGATTTCCTTCCAGAAATGATGGTGGATCATTGCTCTTTGAATTCCAGTCCTGTGTAAGTATTTTTGTTGTCTAATTCTTATCATAAGCAGAGGGAACTGGGCTGTTTTATTATTATTATTACTACTACTACTACCATTGTTATTATTATTATTACTATTATTATTATTATTTGGTGAAACCGGTCCCATAAAAGAGAGAAGAAAAAAATTAGAAAGCCCACATTTAATTCTCTTAATTATTTAGTCTAATTCTCATAAGTGCTAATTGCCTCTAGGATGTAACTAAAATCTTTGCATGAAGGTACACTTGATATGACTAGCAACATCAAGTATGCTGATTCTAATCGCTTCAAACTGTAGCGTTTGTTCATGTAACAGATTCCAAGGTGTTTTTAAAATTGTGGCTTTATTGCTTTGGGTTGGGTTTACAGTATTAAATAATCCTTTGGGAATTGAGCATTCTGTTATTCATTGTATGTATGTATGTATGTGTTTGTTTGCTTATTTATTTATTTATTTATGAATGACAGGGTTTTGTGTAACCCTGGCCGATATACAACTCACTATGTAGCCAAATATGACCTTGAACTCCTGCTTACTCTCCTGAGTGCTGGGATTGCAGGCATGAGCCATGAAGCTCAGTTTTGCTGTACATAGAACCCAGATTAGGCAAACACTCTATCATCCTCAACCCGTTTCTGTTTTTTGAGACAGGGTCTCCCTATATAGCTCAGATTGGTCTCATGATCCTTTACCACAGCTGCTTCGGTGCTAGGTTTATATGCATGTGCCACTAAGCCCTGCTAGTTTTTAACTGTCATACTCTGAAGCTCCTGTCACAGAGAAAACTGGTAGTTAAGTATGGTATTATTTAGTATTGTAGGTATAGTGTTATATAGTGTTTTGACCTGTGAATTATAACTCTGAACCTTAATTTTCTCCCCCTACCTCCTCGGTAATTGAAAAGTAAAGTTCAGCATGTAATTTCAGTAATATTAGGTTATCCTCATCAAAAACAAAACCCAGTAAAACAAAATTAGATCAATTTTGATTGGCAGTTTGTGCAAATAAATTGTGGCTGGTCAGCTAGCCAAAATGTTGGCCTGGCCCTGAGGTCTGGACTTTGTAGAGAATGATCATATTTCCAACCCTGATTTCTGTCAAAACCTGAACTCTGTATTATTTCAGTTACTTTAACCAGTGTCCCCGGTGTCATCACTTTAACTAAGTTCAAAATATCTTGGAACATCAAATAAATGCATCTTTATTGAGAGCCAAGAATGTTAGCAGGAGAACATTCTCTAGGTGAAAGATATTAGTGTGACTCTTTGACATTAGGCCTCCCTGTTCAAATCATACCTCCTAGAGCAATGTGAGTAATAGCGACTTTATGAGATAATTTTGAGAGTCTCTAAGTTAATCATATTGCTCTTTTGCAATGGATAATATGCCTTCTCTATCGTCCTCTAAATCGTAATTTCAATGTGCCTTTTTATGACAGTTCTTTACTATCAAAATGTTATTTTAGCAGTAGTTAAGGGCAAATTACATTAAGTACTAGTATCAAGATTCAGCATGAGTCTGGAGAGATGGCTCAGCGGTTAAGAGTCCTGACTGCTCTTCCAGAGGTCCTGAGTTCAATTCCCAGTACCCACATAGAGGTGCACAACCCCAGTTCCAAGGAACCTGACACCCTTGCAGACATACATGCAAGGAAATAAAAATAAATAAAAAAAAGATTCAGCACGCCAAGTATGCCCATATCTCAGAATATATACTAGCTAAAATTGGAGTTTATAGCTCAAATTACCTTTGCATTCTAGAAGTTTCTTTTTGTGCTTTGCTACTGTCTGTTGTTGAACATTTCAATGTTTTTCTCAGGTCCCCTCAGCCCCTTTTCCCTCTGTTCTTTGGCCTTTTCTTTTTGTGCTAGAAATTAGGTTGCTGAGCAAACCAATGTTCTGAGCTACACTCCATCTTTCAGCCTCTTTGCTTTTTCCTTTCTTTCCTTTTCCTTTTTCTTCATATAGGGCCTCATGTATCCCAGGCTGGCCTCTTAACTTTCTGTGTAGGCAAGGCTGGTGAACTTCTGGTCCTCCTGCCTCTACCTCCTGAGCTTTGTGATGATTGTCATATACTTCTACTTCCAGTTTACATGAACATCACCTGGGACTTAAAAAATCCAGATTAGTTTTTATGTTAAAATAAGGTCTAAGACTGTATTTTAAGTATAATGTATAGTTTTTAATGTATATTGAAGTTTGAAGCAAATGGTTTAATGTGGATATTTTGAATTAATCAAAATGGATTGTTACTTTTTTTTTTTTTGTTTAATAATCCAAAGTCATTTGCATCTGTTTTCGTGACCCATCTCCACCAAAGCTTTATCAAGCTAATAAGTTCTTTGGCTATTGCCCCTATTCTACAGTTGAGGAACTCAGTTGAGAGAAGTCATAACTTGATTGCTGAATAATTGATGTCAGTCTTGGACTGAATATTCTTTTTTATTGGGGATATACTAGACCGGATATCAGCGAGTAGCTTAAACTTGCATGCCCTTAGATCCACACCACCACAGAATGGCGCTTACAATGAAGGGTGTCTGTGCATGTGCATTTTCTGGTGAGTTTCTGCGTGTGCATGCGGGACCTGTTGGAAATAAAACCCAGGACCTTATACATACTAGATAAGCACTTTACTTGTGACCCAGGATGAAGAATTCTTGAAATTGGTGCATGCTTGCCACCTCTTGAATTATTCACTGAAGCAATTCTTTTAACCAGAGGTTAAATCAGTGATTTGTGATTGGTCGGTTTATAATTTTTCAAAAATTTTTTTACCACACAAGTAGTGAAAGAGCCCTGAAAGCTCCAGGGCTAGATACCCTGTTTCCTGTTCTTGTGCTCAGTATCCCGAGTTCTTCTTTGATCATTTTGAAGTTGTGCTATTCTCCAAGGATTAGGCCCTAAGACCCTATCTAGCTCTCCATTGATTAATTCCCTGTCCTAGCCTGTTTCTCAGGATTTCATCTACAACCCCATAACTTGAATCAAAACCTGTCTATTAGATATCTCTATGTCTGGGTGCTTCCTTACATAAAAGCAGTTTCCCAAATTGTCTGTGACTCATAGTTTTTCTTCCTTACCTCCTTGGAATTCTGTAAACTCTACATCCTAGGAATGTGATGGGATCATGACCGGAAAAATGAAAATGGGAGCAACTCTATACAGAATCCTCCTGGTTTCATGTTCTCTCCCCACCTCAATTTATTTCTTCTTATTTATTCACAGTATACGTATGTGTACACACATACACACACTCTTGAAGGGGTGGAGTTTGGGGTCTACTTTGTTACTTTGTAGCCCTGGTTAGCCTGGGATTCATTGTGTAGATGAGGCTAGCCTTGAACTCACAGACATCTCTTCCTCTGCTAGGATTAAAGAGATGTACTGCCGTGCCTGGCTCATTCTGTTCTTAATTTTTTAGACTGTCTGGCTGTATAGCCCATGTTGACTTCAAACTCATGATGCACCTACCTATACTTGCCCAGTAATGGTGTTGCAGATATGAACATTCCCAGCTGGTTTGCTAGGGTTTTGTTTTTGGGTTTTATTGTGTTTTTTAATAATTAGTTTTTACATTTACATTTTTACATTTACATTTTTTGTTTTGTTTTGTTTTGTTTTTTTCAAAACAGGGTTTCTCTTCTGTAGTGCTGCTATCCTGGAACTCTTAAAGACCAAGCTGGCCTCGAATTCACATAGATCCATCTGCCTCTGCCTTGTGAGTGCTGGGATCAAAGGTCTGCAGTGGCACTGCCTGGCCTGCCAGGTATTTTTTAAGAGAAAAATCTGATAATTTTCTTAGTTGAGTTTAGAGTAGCAAGAGAGTAGTATGTATCTGTAATCCCAGCAGTTAGGAGCTAGAGGCTAGAGAGAAAATCAGGCGTTCAGGATCATCCTTAGCAACATAGGGAGTTCAAGACTTGCCTGGAATATGAGACCCTGTTTTATAAACAAAAGGAAGGAAGGAAAAGAAAAGATCTAGGAATAAAATTCAAGCTCTTAGTGTGTCACAGGAATTCCATCTTCTGGGTCTCTCCAACATACCTCTTTATCTATCTTGATTTCTAATTAATCCCCCCCCCTTTATTGATTTCTGTGCTCTTAACTCCCAAGTGTATTTTCTCTTCCTTTCTATCTTCTGTTCTTCATCATGCTTAGGCTTTCAGTCCTACATGCCATATAGCATTGCTCCCATCTTTCATCTTAAATCCTCAGCCCACACTCCTCAAAATAAAGTCATTAGCCCCCCCCCCCCCCCCCCCCCCCCCCTTTTTTTTTTTTTTTTTTTTTTTCTTTTGAGACAGTATCACATCAGGTGGTCTTGACTGCCTGAAACATCAGAGATCTGCCTGCCTCCCTGGTGCTTGGATTAAAGGCGTGCTTCACCACCATACCTAGCAAGATAGAATTTTTATATTTGCCAAGTGATTTGTTGAGTGTGTAGTTTTCACTTGTTTAGTAGTATTCTCCAAGGCAGATTATTGCTCAGTCTTTCATAGAACCAATATAATTGTGGTGTTGGTGTTGCTCTAACACCATGTTTCTTTGTTTTTGTTTGTTTGAGGGTGTTTTTTTTGGAGAGGAGTGGCTGGAGGGAGATAATTACAGACTAAAACCTTGACATTTTTCTCCAAACCTCAGGGAAGAAGAATGCTTCAAAATTAGATTATCATCTATGCTGTTAAAGGCTGTTGACTTAGAAACCTTTATTGATAGCTTTTTCTAGTACCTAGTAACAAGTCTCCCTTTATCCAAATTAAAATTATTTCCACACATAATGCACATTTTCTGTTTTGGTTTCACTAGAGAAATACCTAGAACATAGCATGGACTTCTTTTTCTAAGTCCTTGAAATTTGTATGCATTTCTCTTTCCCCTTTTCCATAGTATTTACATAGTCTGGGGAGACTTGTTGAGACTGGGTCATGGTTAAATTTACAATGTAATATGGGTTTATGCTTGCTAAAAAAGGTAGATGCATTAATGCC